CACTCTGAACACTAACTATGCAGTGTAAAAAGCCAGAGGGGAGAGGCTAGAGCACAAATGGCAGGTATGTACCAGACCAGGACAACACCCTGCACAAATCAGATCATTCTCTGTGCCAGAATGTTACATAAAATCACAGCACTGAGTTAAGCATATAGGATACATAGTAAAGCCCTCATTTAACATAATATTATCAAGGTTTGCATTGGACCAAGTGCATGCTAATTTTTAGTCTCTGTTGAATTCCATCCATAGGTGTAGTTTCTCACTGGCAAGCAGCTGAATGAATGTTTTAACGACAAACACGGTGCTGGACTTGTCAGACCGGTGTGGCAGTGGGTGTGGACTGACGGCGTATAAGAGCCTGATGGGCTGGCATTAAGTGTGCATTGTGTGGATAGGTTCAGAGGGCCACACATGTTGCATCTAATCCCTACGTACAACGAACAGACTGGTGTATGGTTGTGGTGACTCCTATAACATAAGTGACACTATACTCTGGAGGAGAAGAGGACTCGGCTCATGGTGATATAATTTGACTGGAATCAGAATGGAGTCAAATGGCACAGCTGGGAAACACGGTGAGTTGGTGTGTTGTGACGCACAGATTTATACCGCCTGTTGAATTCTTCTACTACTGCATCCAAGAGCTCACCTGAAGTGTTTCACATGCAGTGGGGGGTGGGAAATATCTAGTGTACTTATGTTCATGGGATTTTTGGCAATAAGAGTTTTTGTGACTTTATTTCATCTGTATCAAAGAGTAGCTTGGAAGTTTTTAAAAGAAAAGAAAATACATGTATATAATGTTCTGACTTCGAGCATCATAATATATGATCATACATGCTGTGTGCCTCCCTGCCTGATGGTGGTGCTGTATATTGTGACCGTGTTTCAATGCAAACTGTTATAAAGCACTATAAGCAAATACTACTTTGATACAGCGACAAACTGTTGCACCATCTTGTTTTGTTTTGCTCAACCCTTTCTCTGCCATACATGGGTCTTTTGGAGCATCAGTTACTTACTCACTGGAAAAAAACAAAAAGCACCCCGCCTCCCTCCTAGGTTGTGTGAGAAACTTCCTCATTACCTAATTCCTCAGAGGCATTTCACCTTATCCCAGGCATCTTCTTGCCCTAGCTTGCCTCACAGGGTGTAGGCGACCTCACATCTGAAACTGATGACACTGCAAAAGAAGGAAAAAAAGAAAACGCATCTGATTTTCATAAACTTCCTTCAAAGACACAGATATGGGAAGTGTTTGTTGTTCTCTTTTCATAACATAGACCTGGTGGGTGACTAAGGACCTCTCCTTCACGGTAAAGTAGATAATATGAACAAGGAGATGACAATCAATAGAAGCTGCCACTACACGCGGATGGAAAGCCTGACTGAGCAGAGTCGGCTTTGAAGCTCTCGAGCTGCTTTGCCTGGTCCTCCTCGCTGCCTGCAGCGAGTTCAGAGGCTCATAAACAGCCTCTGTGAGTCTGTGGCGGGTCTCTTGTGAGTCCTCCCAACTTTATGAACTTTTCTGGAGAATCTCTTGAAGGAATTGAAAACCTGACAAACATTTTGTGTGTTGGAAACGTACTATCACACATTTTTCCTTAGTAACAATGTCATAATTTCCCTCTATATAAACAGCCCCTTGCTAGTGCATCGTACATGATACAGCATTTAAATTGATTAGATTTGTGTATGACCCCTGCAGGTTTGGAGGGAGATCCAGATCTACAGTTCCTGCTGGTCGGCGGGGAGCTGATCAAGATTCGCTCGAGGGCCTGGAAGAAGAACCGCTTCTTCAAACTGCAGGAAGACAGCAAGACGTTGTGGTATGAGTCCCACAAAATATTCAGGCGGAAACAAACTTGTGAGTGTCGTTTTCTACATGAGTTACATCTTTTTATTGACATAATGCACAACATTTTCTACAAGTACAAAGCCTGGAATCCTCCTGAGTTCCAGTTTGTGTGAGTTTTTTTCACTTGAGCTCGTCCAACCCACTGTCTTCTTGAGCTGTTCATTTGTCTGCTGTTATTCTGTCAACATAGAGTTCTCCCTTCAGATCTCAACAATAGCCTCTTGCAAACGCACCCCTCAAATCCCACTGCTACTCCAGAATATGTGAGCGGTGGTGACGTTGAACTCACACAGATTCTACATACTACTGTGAGACCAAAGACTGACTGGAAAATACTAGTGTTTGTCCATGTGTGTGAGAGAGATTATTTCCCTCTGATTTCTGGTGTAGTAAGCCACTGTCGGGGTGTGAATGTATGGATGCGTCCTCTGGGCCTCTCTGATCTCCCTCCAATCCCGGCGGCGGCTGCTGCCACCAGACCTGATAACCTCTGTCCCGAGCCTGAGCCTTGAACAAACACTGAAAGACAGAGCAGTGCGCCTAATCTTCCACTTATAGACCCAGAGGTGATATCGATCGATACGGTCGTGTGAACGGTCATGTGTCAAAGCTGATATTTAACATGACCAAACTAGCTGAGAGACGGGCCTCGAGGTCACAGTCATTTCCTTGTTTACGGAGATAAGCGTGCATGTTTTATTGCTTTCCTGTGGGCTCGAGTAAAAAGCTCCTGTTCTCTTTTTCCCACGCTCTGTGACTGCCATTTGCCTTGATAGCATTCACAAACACAGAGATACACAGGCGTGTACACACTGTCAGGATCACATGAGGTGGATAAATATAACACATTTCTCATGATACTCCCTCATATTACTGTCAGTCTGCTATTTGGCACAGAGATATAAAGGTATTGATAATATTTGCAAACTTATCACATCAGAACAATATTTATGAGTTCATATTCAAACAAGTATTAACAGATTTGGTATGTAGGCGGTTATTGTATTGCAATTCATTTTCAGTTGTTAATTTCCAACCTCGACGCCAAGCTGAATGGGAACCTTAAGGTCGGACTTATACGACAGCGTAACAGGACTATTGTAGGTATATGGGGGAGTAATATTCAGAGTAAAATCTTAGAATTGCCAAGAATACATTTGTAAATTATAGAGAAAAAACTCACAAATTTACAATAAGTGTATTCAACATAGGTATTCAAGAGAACGACTAGTCACAAGTGCATCTCCTTTTTTAAACAAGCATCTAAGAGCATAAACTAGAGCAAATGTAAAGTGCAGAAACAAACAAATACAATAAGTGTAACAAACTAGTATGAATACAATAAGTGCAACAAACTAGTATGAATACAATAAGTGCTTAGTGGAAGGCTCAGGGTAGTACTTCTTGAAGAGGTGAGTTTTCAGCCTGCGCCTAACATTTTATATTTTGCCCACGTGTTGCCAGTGTGTGAGGCGAGAAGATCAAGTGAGGCCGGACTGCATCAAACGTTAAATGCAGTTATCAAATCTCCATGGAATGTGTTTGTGTTGCCAAAGGATCCAAATGTTCAGCAGACAACAACAAAATGTCTGAGCGGCCATCTCTTAGACCGTCTCTGAGGGCTCTTAATCTAAAAACTGTTGCATAGTTCAGTTTTTGGTAAACAAGATTCAAGCTCAACCTTCTGTTGCTATGTAACATGTTTACATGACATGTAGTAACAAAGAATTCTGTTGTAGAAGATCCTATCTCACCACCATTTATGTCTGATTATGTCTCTTATGATAAGAGATTTGTTTGGGAGGAAAACAACGTATTTTGCATTCATCTTCTCAGTTGTTCCAGACTACATAAAGTTGTTTTACTTATAAAACTGCACTTCTATAGTGAATCAAATAATGTAATGTGATGGGAAAGGGGTCGCTCTTTGTGTCTTTCAGCTCTTTCAGTTTTGGTTTTGTAGCCCACAACTTTACAGCAGACAGACAAAGTCAGCATAGCTTTAAAGGGCCAAGTGTGACTTCCAGCGAGGTCGTGGTTGTTCCGAGTTATCACACGGAAAACTACTGTATATATGATTCTAAGAAGCTATTAACAATTATCACCACTGCTGATGACAGAATTGGTCATCAATAGAAAAAGCAATTTTTATGTAATTTTCTGTAATAGTAATCCAGACTAGAAGTTTCCACTATGGAGTGAATTAGTTTGTAAAACATATTATTACTTGTATTATTATTACAGTTAGAGACTTGACTCCAACAGGATGTTGCACGTCAAACTTACAGCGTGTGGAAGTACTGTTTATACTTGTTTAAGACTCTTTCTGGGTGAATTCTAGTGTTTTGAGGGAAATCTCTAACGAAGCCCTTCATCTCTCCAAACAGTCTCTATCGATGACATTGATTCAGTGCGCATGGGCCGTCAGTCTGAGGGGCTTAATAAACACACCCACAACAGTGTTGAAGACCAGTGCTTCTGCATCATCTTCAAGGGCCGCAAGAAAAATCTGGACCTGATGGCAGCCAGCGGGGAGGAGGCGAAACAGTGGGTCAACGGCCTGGACAAGATCATGAGCAACATGCTCAACCTCAGCCGGCAGCAGAAGAGTGAGCAGTATCCTTGACTTCTGGGTCTTTTAGTGAAGGATGTGTTTGCAAATGTGTTTCCTAAAATGGAACTGCTGAGAGGAGATAAGTGCCTTTTTGCTGTGCCATATTTGTTGTTTTGTTCTTAATTAGTTCAAATATAATTCTTAAATCTAAATGTCAGTTGGATCATCAACTGCATGCGGAAAGCAGACAAGAACGAGGACAACAAGATGACCCTGAAGGAGCTGAAGCACTTCCTGAGACAGGTCAACATCGAAGTGGACGACACTTACGCAGCGGAAATTTTCAAGGTGAGTCGCAACAAGCCGTTGCGTCCTGCAGATCTTGATATGTTATCCAAAAAAATGCATAAGTTCGCCAAATTTAAAATCTAGTATGTGTTTCATTGTATCATAGAAATGTGACGAGTCCAATTCAGGCTCCCTGGAGGGCACAGAGATCAAGCACTTCTACGACCTGCTGACAGACCGCGAAGAGATAGATGTGATTTTCGGAAATTACGCTACAACAGAGGGTCAGATGAGCTCCAGAGACCTGCTAAACTTCCTGTTGAATCAGCAGAGGGAGGAGGTGTCCATGGAGGACGCTCTCAAGCTGATTGAAAAACACGAGGTGGATGAGACAGGTAGGGCTAAGGAGTTTTATACAACACAGTATTGAGAGACACATGGTCACAATCCACATATCGTGTCATATTCACCGGGTCTGTCTGTCCACCAGCGAAGCAGAAGAAGCGCATGTCCAAAGACGGCTTCCTGATGTACATGCACCATGAGGAGGGCTCCATCCTCAACCCGGCCCACAAACCGGTGTATCAGGACATGCACCAGCCCCTCAACCATTACTACATCTCCTCCTCACACAACACATACCTGATGGCAGACCAACTCAAAGGACCCAGCAGCACAGAAGCCTACATAAAGTAACTACTTTCACAAACAAACTGTATGTAACATTAACTGAAGGGGAAACTGCTACTTGAGTTCTGACAACAGCCATGTCAACATCCATCCATTTTCCTCCGCTTATCCGGGGTCGGGTCGCGGTGGCAGCAGGCCAAGCAGGCTGACCCAGACTTCCCTCTCCCCCGCAACATTTTCCAGCTCATACTGGGGGATCCCGAGGCGTTCCCAGGCCAGCTGGGAGATATAATCCCTCCAGCGTGTTCTGGGTCTTCCCCGGGGTCTCTTCCCAGTTGGACGTGCCTGGAAAACTTCCAGTGGGAGGGGTCCAGGAGGCATCCTAATTAGATGCCCGAACCACTTCAGCTGACTCCTTTCGACGCGAAGGAGTAGCAGCTCGACTCCAAGTTCCGGAGCTGATGTCCGAGCTCCTTACCCTATCTCTAAGGCTGAGCCCACCCTATGGAGGAAACTCATTTCGGCTGCTTGTAGCCGCGACCTTTTCTTTTCGGTCATGACCCAGAGTTCGTGACAATAGGCGAGTGTAGGAACGTAGACCAACCAGTAAATTGAGAGCTTTTTCTTCTGGCTCAGCTCTCTCTTCACCAAGACGGTCCGGTGCAGCGCCTGCTTTACTGCTGCAGCCACACCGATCCTCCTGTCGATCTCCCGCTCCATCTTACCCTCACTCGTGAACAAGACCCCGAGATACTTTAACTTCTTCACTTGCGGTAGGCACTCCGTCCCCACCTGGAGGGAGCAATCCACCGGTTTCCGGCAGAGCACCATGGCCTCAGATTTGGAGGTGCTACCTCTCATCCCCGCCGCTTCACACTCGCCGAATGAATGCTGGAGGTCACGATCCGAGGAGGCCAACAGGACCACATCATCTGCAAACAGCAGAGAGGCGATCCCGAGACCCCCGAACCTGACATTCTCCACCCCCCGGCTGTGCCTAGATATCCTGTCCGTGAAAGTCATGAACAGGACCGGTGACAAAGGGCAGCCCTGGTGGAGGCCAACACCCACCGGGAACGTGTCTGACTTATTGCCGAGAATGCGGACACAGCTCCTACTGCAGTCGTACAGAGACCGGATCGCCTGTTGTAACGGGTCCGGCACCCCATACTCACGCAGCACCCCCACAAGAACCCCAGAGGGACCCGGTCGAAAGCCTTCTCCAAGTCCAGTCGTGGCTCACTGGGTAGAGAGGGTTGTTTGGCAACTGCAAGGTTGGTGGTTCGATCCTTGGCTGCTACGTCTCCTATGACGAAGTGTCCCTGAGCAACTGAACCCCTAACTGCTCCCCGGGTGCTTTTCAGCAGCCCAATAAGCTAGGGATGGGATAAATGCAGAGGACAAATTTCGTATGTGTATATGACAATAAAGAGTCCGTCATTGCCCACGTGAGTGGTGAAGTCCCGCAGGAGAATTATGGAGTCGGCAGGCGGCGCCCTTTCCAGGACCCCTCCCACTGACTCCAAGAAGGCCGGATACTCCGAACTGCTGTTTGGTGCATAAGCACAAACCGCAGTCAGAGCCCTGCTCCCTGCAACCCGTTGGCGCATGGAGGCGACCCTCTCGTTCGGAGAAATCCAACACAGCGGCGCTCAGCCGGGGGCTCGTGAGTATCCCCACTTCCGCCCGGCGCCTCTCACCCTGGGCAACTCCGGAAAAGGACAAAGTCCAACCCCTCTCCAGGAGCTTGATTCCAGAGCCAGTGCTGTGTGTGGAGGTGAGTCCAACTATATCTAGCTGGTATCGCTGCACCTCCTGCACCAACTTCGGCTCTTTCCCCGCTAGCGAGGTGACTCGAGACTCGTGACTAGAGCTAGTCTATGCTGCTGGCAATCGGCTCGCCCAGGCCTCCGGCCTGACCCGCCGCCCGGTCTGCATTGCACCCGACCCCAATGCTTGTCCCTGCGGGTGGTGGGTCCACAGGGTGGCTGTTCCATGTTTCTTCGGGCTGAGCCCGACCAGGCCCCATGGGCGAAGGCCAGGCCACCTGTTGTAAAAAAAGAGCTGGAGTGTAGTGATCCCAGGTTTTCATGAAGGTTTTCTTTCCCTGCAGAGCACTGATGAAGAGCTGTCGCTGTGTGGAGCTGGACTGTTGGGACGGGGCTAACGGCGAGCCTGTCATTTACCACGGATACACACTCACGTCCAAAGTGCTCTTTAGAGACGTCATTAAAGCCATCAAAGACTTCGCCTTCAAAGTATGTTACATAACGATGATTGCATTTCAAATCCATCCCTGTTCTTCTCATTCGGACAGTTAAGGAGAGCTTCACCTCAATGGTTGTTTCCTTCGTTTCTCCAGACATCTGACTACCCAGTGATCCTGTCCCTGGAGAACCACTGCACCGTGGACCAACAGAAGCTCATGGCCCATTACTTGATCTCCATCCTGGCTGATGCTTTGGTCTCAAAGCCTCTGGGCAACACCATGCCCACCAACTTCCCCTCACCTGAGGTGTGTGAATCTCAGCTCACTGATTCCTTTTCATGAAACATTCAAAGCCCAAATAAACACCAAAGAAAGACCACATCTAAAAATTCCACCACTTAAGTTAATGACCCACTTCACTTTCCTGTTTACATTAACTGATGAGATTAAAGTAAAACCCAATCCTCATTATGTGAGGACCAAATTAAACCGGTAGCACATAATCAAAACAGCATCAATCTCAAGCCTCTGCTCCTCCTCCATGTTTGAATAATGTGGGTTCACAAGATCTTAAGTTTTGTATTTTGTTATCATTGCTCTGTGAGCGCTGAGAGATAAGTTGTATATTAACTAATAAATAGTCAAAGGATCCGACTGTGTGAGAGAACACCTTGTCCAATAAGAGTTATCTCCTCCTGACGTAATGTGTTGCTCGTGGACTCCGCGTGGATGCGGTGATTGGAGATTTTTGCTTTGTTTTGTTTTTTTTATACCGTCATTGGCCGCTGACTCCTCTGGACTGGCCGGTAGGAGCTGCAAGAGGCATTTCCGGCAATCGGCAAAGCTAAAAACAAGCTTTACCAAGTCTGTTCCTGGACACAATTTGGGGCGTGACTCAAAAACTGACAAAGAAATGTTTGGTGTGGTTATCTTTGCCGTAATGGAGCCGGGAACGACAACTGAGTGAGATTCAACTCTTCTTTGTTTGGGAGGGAAGAGGAGCCACACCTGGCCGAGATCTGCACTATACTGAGTGCACTTTGTTGTAAAGGAGTTTCATTTGTATGTGAACATGGGCGAGTCTTCAGCGTTTGTCTAGGTGTGGATGCCATTAATCAAGCATTATATCAATGCTGTTTTTTCTGCTACAAACTTATTGTTCAATGTAATCTCCCCCATAAATCTTTCTTCCTTTAGCCCTTATATCTTAAATAATAAACATCTATGATGGATGTATTGAAAATGTCCTCAGCACTAGAGGCGGGCTAAAAGAGAGGAGGGCAAAATTAGCACGTCAAATCATTTTTCAGTGACATCCCTAAGCCCTGTTCAAATGTAGCACCCATGGGATGAATGCCTGTGGCATTGTGAGCTTGCGAGGAAATTATAATTATGCATTACAAAGCATTTTCCTCTGTCATTGGCTGTTGAGAGGGCGTGAAAAGTAGCCATCAATAACACATATTTTTCCATTGAAAGACGAGAATATGCTTGCCTACATTCAGCTATTGAGTGGTACATTATGTTTATAAATTGCTTAACAACACAAACACAAATTTTGTCGGTTTCTGTGCAGGAGCTGAAGGGGAAGTTCCTCATCAAGGGGAAGCGATTGAACAAACTGGATGCTGCCCTCAACAATAACGTTGTAGAGGAAGGCACCGTGTCTGAGGAGGATGAGGCTGCAGATTGTAAGGAGAACGGACAGAAAGCCAAATCAAAGGTGCGTCAAGTGTT